TTCTGCTTAGCTGCACTGCACTACACCTTTTGTGTTCTGCTTAGTTGCACTGCACTACACCTTTTGTGTTCTGCTTAGCTGCACTTCACTACTCCTTTTGTGTTCTGCTTAGCTGCACTGCACTACACCTTTTGTGCTCTGCTTAGCTGCACTACACCTTTTGTGTTCTGCTTAGCTGCACTGCACTACACCTTTTGTGTTCTACTTAGCTGCACTGCACTACACCTTTTGTGCTCTGCTTAGCTGCACTGCACAACACCTTTTGTGTTCTACTTAACTGCACTGCACTACACCTTTTGTGTTCTACGTAGCTGCACTGCACTACACCTTTTGTGTTCTACTTAGCTGCACTGCACTACTTCTTTTGTGTTCTGCTTAGCTGCACTGCACTACACCTTTTGTGTTCTGCTTAGCTGCACTGCACTACTTCCTTTGTGTTCTGCTTAGCTGCACTGCACTACTTCTTTTGTGTTCTGCTTACTGCACTGCACTACTTCTTTTGTGTTCTGCTTACTGCACTGCACTACTTCTTTTGTGTTCTGCTTCTGCACTGCACTACTCCTTTTGTGTTCTGCTTCTGCACTGCACTACACCTTTTGTGTTCTGCTTACTGCACTGCATTACACCTTTTGTGTTCTGTTTCTGCACTGCACTTCACCTTTTGTGCTCTGCTTACTGCACTGCACCTTTTGTGTTCTGCTTAGCTGCACTGCACTACACCTTTTGTGTTCTGTTTAGCTGCACTGCACTACACCCTTTGTGTTCTGTTTAGCTGCACTGCACCTTTTGTGTTCTGCTTAGCTGCACTGCACCGTTCCGCACGCACTACACCTTTTGTGTTCTGTTTAGCTGCACTGCACTACACCCTTTGTGTTCTGTTTAGCTGCACTGCACTACACCCTTTGGTTGTTTAGCTGCACTGCACTACACCTTTTGTGTTCTGCTTAGCTGCACTGCACCTTTTGTGTTCTGTTTAGCTGCACTGCACTACACCTTTTGTTTTCAGCTTAGCTGCACTGCACTACACCACACCTTTTGTGTTCTGCTTAGCTGCACTGCACTATACCTTTTGTGTTCTGTTTAGCTGCACTGCACTACACCTTTTGTGTTCTGCTTAGCTGTACTGCACTACACCTTTTGTGTTCTGCTTAGCTGCACTGCACTACACCTTTTGT